ACACCCAATGGTACTAGACTAGTGATGCTGGGTAAGGAAGGAGGGTAGGCAGAGGTGGGGGTTAGGGGAGTAAAGCAGGGCCAAGAATTGAACTCTGGGTATTGCACATGTTATGCTTTACCCCCAGTTAATGTCATTTATGGCCCTGGACAATAGTTATCTGCAAGTTTAGACTAGCTATCAAACTGATGCTTTTAAAAATTATCTTCAAGTGCTTACCTTGCATATGGTCCAGGTTTGATTCCCAGAGACCTGGTGCTCAGAGACCTGCCAGGAGTGTTCCCTCATTGCAGAACCAAGAGTAAACCCTGAGCACCACTGGTGAGAACCAAAACCAAAACAATAATATAAAAAATATACAAAAATTACCTTTCTTGGGACCTAAAAGATAGCATGCAAGTATGGCACTTGTCTTGAATGTGGCCTACCTGGATTCAATACTCGGCACTGTATATAATTTCCTGATCCCTGCCAGGAGTGATCCCTGAGCACAGAGTCAGGAGTCATGTCTGTGCATTGCTGGGTGTGGCCGAAACAAAACAAAACAAATTATATGGCCAGAGCAATAGTACAGTGGGCAGGGTGCTTGTCTTGTATGCATCTGACTTAGGTTCGATCCCTGGCATCCCATATTGTCCTATGAGCCATGCCAAAAGTGATCCCTAAGCACAGAGCCAGGAGTTAAACCCTGAGCACTGCTGGATGTTGCCTATAAGCCTCAAAAAGGGTGTTACCTAAAAATTTTATCTATCTATCTATCTATCTATCTATCTATCTATCTATCTATCTATCGAGCTATCAATCTATCTATGTATCTATCTATGTATCTATGTATCTATGTATGTATGTATGTATGTATCTATCTACCTACCTACCTACCTACCTACCTACCTACCTGTTTATCCTTTTATGAGGCTAGAGAGATGGCTCAAGTGTAGAACACGTGACCTGGCACATACAAGGCCCTGAGTCAATCCTCAGAACCTCATGCCCCAGTGCTCACCCAAGAATGCAGTAGAGTCACCAAACCTTCAGGCTGGGTGGAGCATCATGGGATGTGGGCTGAGCCCCACCTTTCCCGTGCACCACTGAGTGATTTAACAAAGGTGATTTAACACATCACCTTTATCAACAGAACATGTGAAACTTCTCTATTATGGCCCTATCTCCTGGAACTATACCTGGCATTTGTTTGCTTTTTGAGATTTCTGATTTCTTTTAAAGAAATAATACCTGACCATTTAGAGGGCTTGACTGTGCTCACTTCAGCAGGAAAGATACCATTAGGGAGCTGAAGCAATAGCACAGTGGGTAGGGTGTTTGCCTTGTACGTGGCTGACATGCATTCGATTCCCAGCATCCCATATGGTCCCCCGAACACTGGCAGGGATAATTCCTGAGTACAGACCCAGGAGTAGCCCCTGAGCATGCATTGCCAGGTGTGACCCAAAAAGAAAAATAAATAAATAAATAAATAAATAAAAGATACCATTAGGGCCTCACTATCCATGGAATTTCCAGAGGGGTTCTCAAGGCTTCACGGACTAGATTTAGTGAACAGGGGTGCTCCACAATAAGGGAAAGGATGAATTACCAAACCCTCCAGTTCTTTAAACACCTTTTAAACCAGAGAAATATTTTTAGCTTAGTATAGTGCTATCTGTGAACTAGTGCTGTCTCAGAGTCCAAGAGTTTTCCTTTTTATCTTGACTGGGCATGCTTAAAACATTTTGCCTTTGAGCTGATATGTGCTTACAGGCATATGTGCGTGTGATTCAGGAGCCCATCGGCACACAGTGTGCGTGCTTCTTGCAGCAGACATCTCTTGAACTCCATCACTGAGGCTTCTAATGGCCAGTTAACAGCAGCATGCTCTGCTCTTCCCTGCGGGGTGACTAATTAATAAACTTTCCCTTAATTGACTTCTGGCTGCCAGTTCCACAGGGATTATTACTTATATATAAATAAACAAAATTTCCATTTTAAATAACACTCCAAATCTCATTATCTTTTAAACAGATATAAATTCACAGAAGGCAAGCCAGCCATGGGCAAGGAGGCTGTATGCATTCCCCTCCCTACGAGAAGCTGCAGGCTCTGGCAGAGACAGGTGACATCCCCAGATCCGTTGGGGTTGGCCTCCTATACCCTATCAACCCGAACTCTCACTCCTTTGTTCTCATCTACTGGTAGATCACAAAGTACCTGAAAGAAGTTCTGGAAACCTAATGGTATTTGACTTTTCCTTTAACCCAAATTTATTATTTAAAAGCAATTCTCTTTCACAATTTATAAATAGAAAGGAGATGAGTGTGATGTTAAATATTTAATAAGTGACCAGTAAGCACTGCTTTTGGTTCAGTTGATGGGTTTAAGGGAAGTTGAATTTTAGGTTCTTACAGTTGAAGTAATTAACTATTTGTTTTCAAGAGTCCTTAACTTTTCAAACTGAGACAGAATTACAGGGATAAAAATTATGGGGGGGCTGGAGCGATAGCACAGCGGGTAGGGCGTTTGCCTTGCATGTGGCTGACCCAGGATTGATTCCAAGCATCCCACATGGTCCCCTGAGCACCACCAGGAGTAACTCCTGAGTGCAGTGCCAGGAGTAACCTCTGTGCATTGCTAGGTGTGACCCAAAACGCAAAAAAAAAAAAAGGAAATATGAAACAGAGTTGTAGCTTGGTTTGGAACCTAGGAACCTATAAGGAAGAGATGGTTGTGGGTTTTTTTTTTGTGTGTGTGTTTTTCCTGTTCAGTTGTGTTGTTCTGGAGTCATTTGGCTTAAGATTCAGATCTTTGGCAAGTCATTCTGCTGAAAGTACAAGAATCCATAGCACAATCTAACTTTAACAATTATCAACAGCATGAAAGAATAAAATGAACATTTTAAAAATCCCACATGACCACTGCTAAGACATTTATTCTGGGAGAATAAAAAGAAAAAAAAACAGTGAAAACAGGATTTAAAATCACTCTCAGATTGCTAAGAGAAATGTAGGGGGGATTAAAAAAAAGCCTATAAAAGATTTTAAATGTCTGGATCTTCTCATCTTATCTTAATCCTGTCTCCTTTGAGAAGCTTTTTCAAATTGAACTGCTAGGTACATACAGTGTGAACTTTCAGGGTCAGCAGACACTGCCAAGAAGTCCAGACTGACGGTCAGGGACACAAACCTTGATGAACAAAACTCTAGGCATAGCCAACATGAAAGAAGCAGACAGAAAAGTGAACAATTGATACAGGCAATGACATGGATCAATCTCAAAGACATTGTACTGAATAAAAGAAATCACCAGACCAAAGGCCACATGGGTCATGTGATCCCATTTATACAATGTCAGAGGATCAAAAAGGCAAAACCATTAGGCCAAAAATCAGATCAGCCATTGTCAGAGGCAGGGTGTGCTGACCCCACTAGGAGGGTCAAAGCTTTGTAACATGGTAGTGGTGCTGGTGATCCTACTGTACAGAATTTTCAAGGCTCATCTAGTGACAGTGAAAGGGTATTGCTCAATATACACTATACTTCACTGAGTCTGAATTGAAAAAGAAATCAATCAAGGAGTAAAGACACTAGCAGAAGCTGGGTCAACAGAGGCCTGTGGATTGGGGATAGGACAGCTTCCATTTCAGGGAAGCAGATCCCCCTCAGAATACTGATTTTTCAGTCTTTGAGCAATCAGGAGTCTTAGGGAAATACAGAGAGCCTATCCACAGATCCAGCTGGCTGCCTTAGCTCTAGGTTCTGCTTAAAGATTAGGTTTGTTAATTGCCTCTACCTGGCTCTACAAGTGTCATTTCTAGGCACAAGGCAGGCGTGATATAGGCTATGCGTCTGTGGCTCCTATGAAACATCTTGGGTTTCATCCCTGGCATCAAAACAAAAACAATTTCCAGGCACCAGTTTCCAAACTCACAGCTTTGCTTACTTTTATTTGTTTTCTGTTAACCAGGGTCGTTCAGACAATCACCAGTTGCCTGTGATTTAAAAGCCCAACAGAAGTGGATGTGGAGAGATTTTAGAAGCTCTTACACTGCCAGCCAGCTCAGTGCTATGGCCAATTTAGAAATCCAGTGAGGTCAATGCCCCACTGATGGCCACCGGAAACCTTAGGCAGAGTGTCTCAACTGCTTAGCACCCTGTAGACTCTCATTGGCGGATAGGGAGACTGGACCTTGGTCAATGCTGACTTTGAAGACAGCAAGGAAGGGCTTGTAGAGCCATCCAGTGCAGTTCTTGCTCTGCTGCTCACTCACAGAGCAGGTCCTGCGTCTGGATTTTTCCAAGAAAGTATCACTGGTGGGAAAACATTTCTGAGGGAAGGAGGCAGCCAGAACTGGTACATTATCCAACAATTTGACTTAAAGACTCCTTTAAGAATGTGGTCAGGGCTGGCAAGAGAGTACAGCAGGTAAGGCACTTGCCTCCATGCAGCCAACCCACATTCTATTCACGGCATCCTCAAACACCTCTAGAAATGATTCCAGAGCACAAAACCAGGAGAAAGTCCTGAGTGCCTCTGAGTACGGCTGGAATCTCCTCTCCAAAAAAAAAGCAAAGCCAAAACACGTGGTCTTGTTTCTTGGACACAAGCTAATGATAAATATTTGCTTGCCAGGGAGCTTAACTGCTCCCTGGTAGGCAAACAATGCCCTTTCACGTTGACCACCATTGATTTTTGGAATACAAGATATGATTAAGAAGTCATTTCTTCAAAGTTTAGAAGAAATAGAATCCAATGGCATAGAATTTGCATAGAATCCCATGGCAATAGATTCATCAATTATCTTCACCGCAGCACACCCTCCCTCCTGAGATGTTTAGTAAACTTTGGTGCCCACACCACCACTGGCTTGGATTATGGATCTGTCCTAGTGAATTGCACACTTTTATAAAGCAGTTGTGGTTGCCTTTGATAACAGAGGTGAGGGGCCCACTAGGTGGAGGATCTGAGGACCAGGAAACCAGTGAGGGGGCAGAGCCAGTCTGACTTACTTCCCCCTTTCCCACTCTTCTCCATCCGGTACTGATAGATGTGCAAGGTGAAGAGCATGTGGGAGTTGCGGTGGTCATCCTCGTCACAGTCCTGCTGGTTGCCTCGGCGGGAAGCAATAGCCGCATCCAGGAAGAAAGCAGCCTTCTCTGCAGTGGGTGCGCGCAGCTCGCTCTGGTTCTGCAGCTGGAAGACAGAAGTGAAGAGTGACATCATGGCCTCAGAAGGGCTTACCTTCCCCACCCGGAGCTAGAAAGCACAGCTCTAGTTCTGGAGACCAAAAGTCCTGCTAGAAGAAGGCCTGAGTTGCCTGCAATAAACTCAACTTCATTCATTTCTGAACATCAGTATAAAGCACCCTGCTGGGATGAAAGATATTTATACCAAGTTGGTCAGTTAGACTGACTCTGTAGAGCTGGTGTGAAGAGCAAGTGATGGTACCTTAGTAATTAATGGAGGGTCAGTCCTGGTCTCTGCAGAGGCCAGCAAACCAACATCCTGGATGACCCATCACTCAAGCAATATGAGATATCTGCACCTCCATTACCAAGATAAGATTTTCACAGACAAGACAGGCAGTTGCAAAATGTAGTTTTTAGCCTGCTAACACTGGTGTCCAAAAGAAGGTAAAAACAAAGATAAAACCCCGACTTGGTCAGCTGTAACTCAATTGTCAATGTTTCTAGCTATTTAATTAAAGGCAATTTAAAAGCACATTACTAATATGATTATAAACAAGAAGCTGTAAAAGATGAAAATGGCAAAGAAACGTGGCTGCCTTATCAATTAAAGAATATCTACTTTGATGGAATAGCCTTCTACTACTCCAATACTGCCAATGATGGTTGGGCTCCCAAAGGCTACTCCCACTGAAGAGTCTGAAAGTCACTAGGGCACACCCAGGGTACTGGAGCACATGGAGGATGTGGTACTGGGGATAGAACTCAGGGTCTCAAGCAAGCTACGTATGTACTAGAGCCCTTTGAGGTGTGACCCCAGCCCTGTTTCTACTTTTATCTTTAGTTCTAAACTCATTTAATGGCAGACTCATTAGACCAATAAGAGTCGTGTAGACATGACTAAGTCATTGAGATCCCTTGTCCACTATAATTAACCTTAGTCAAAACATTAAAAAAAGAATCCTTCACAGGCCAGAAAGATAGTCTAGCAGATAAGATGCTTGTTTTGCATGTGGCTGACCTGTGCTAAGGCCCAGGACCTTATATGATCCTCTGAGAGCCACCAAGTCTTGAGGACCATCGAGTGTAGTCCCAAACAAATAAAACTAAACAAAGCAACAACAACAAAAAAGTTTCCCAATTTTGTGGACAAATAGAAACTCATATTTTTCATTCAATCAAATAACTGATTTGCAGCCTATGCCCCAGGATTAGTACACATTCTAACAATTCTCTAGCTCCACCTGACCCACAATTCTGTACTGAGAGAACAATGTCTGAAACCTAAGAATATCAAAATCCTCAAGATTCAGAGAAAGAAGTGATGGTTGGACAAATGGGCAGTCACTGGAAAACATGCCAGTGCATTGTCAGGGCCAAGCTCATAGACTGACTGAACCAGAATCCGTGTTTCAACAAGATCCTGGTGGTTGCAGGTCACTGCTGTCATGAGGGACTGTTATGTAATTTAGGAGGAGTGGCAATGTGGGGTTTGAATGAGACAAAGTTGGAAAGGTAGGCAGGGGCCAGTTTACACAGGGCTCTGAGAATCATGAGGAGTTTGGCTTGCAGAACTCCTAATGGGAAAGCAAAGGTCTGGGGTATTAAGCAGGAGAAGAATATGATTAGGTGTGAGGATATGGGACAAATGAGGTCATGAGTGCATGCTTATCTCTGAAACAATTCTACTGGAAACAAGGTAGAAACTGATACTGTTTTATACAAAAAAGGAATCTGATCCAGACTGTATAGTGGGTAAGGCACTTAGTGGACCACCACACGGGGCCCAGGTTTGACTGCTGGCTGGCACTGCATACCTTTCCCTGCTTACCAACAGAGCCAGGAATAAATCCTAAGCACCACTATGTATAGCCCCCAAACAAAACAAAAATAAAATAAAATGGAGGCATCATTTCTTTACATGTGGCTGACCCTTACTCAGTCCCTGGTATTGCATTGATTCTCTGGCACCTCTGGGAATGACCTGGAACAGAGTCAGGAACAGTTTCTGAGCACTTGCGGTATGCCTCCAAAACCTAAAATTAAATAAAATAAGGAGGACGCATCCGAAAAATCAAGTAAAGCCTGATTCTAGAGACTAAAATGGTTTATTCTGTTTTTTATACTATTACTATTTTGGGGTGGTGATAGGGAGAGGGCTTTGGGACTTGCCTGGCAGTACCCAGGGCTTACTCCTGGCTCTGTGCTCAGGGATCACTCCTGATGGTGCTTCAGGGACCATGTGAAATGCTAGGGATAGAACTAGCATTAGCCGCATGCAAAGCCAGTGCTTTGCCTCCTGTACTATCTCTCCAGCCCAAGAATTGCTTATTATGGATATGAACAAGGGAGCGCCTGAGTCATTCCTGTAGCAGTTGTCAAACAACAAGGGAAAATACCTCCTCACAGGCACGGCATTCTGAAAAGGTGAGTTGGAGCTTCTTTTGGCTTCCATAGTTCTAGCAATTATATCATGGTTCTAATTAGAAAGTGGTTATTAGTTTTTCCTACAACACTACTAATCCGGTTGTAAACCAGTGCCAGAAACAGTTTATAGAGCCATAAACAGCCCCAGTAATGACTGTAGCTATTTGTGCAGAGCAGTAAATATTTCAGTTTGTTGTTAAACAAAAGAAAGATTGTACTTAAAAAAAAAGTCATAAAAAAGCAAATTCAATCTCCCTCCAATGCTACCACAATTGTGGTTCCTGCTTACTGTCAATTAGATTCAAGGTACAAATATTTAGGTTTGGTGAGCAGATGGCCCCGCAGCTGCAAGCTGTAAAGTTTCTGTGCACTTTAGAGTAAACACAAGTATGCCTCCCAGTTTATATGCGGAGAGAGTCACGGGTCAAACTGTCCCAGGCTCCGGGGTGGGCAGGAGTCACATGACTGCTTGCTAAGCCTCAGAACCAATCACCTGTGTGCCACAGATGGGGTCCTCACACAGGTACACGCCCGGGGACTGGCCGTCCTGCAGACTGCCTGTGGCCACCTCGGAGAGCAGGTCCCTCAGGTTCTCCTCTTTGCCCCACACTTCAACCGCTGAGATCCGCACTGAGAAACGAGCTCCTGTCTTTTCTTTTCGTTCATTGATGAGCTTGAAGAGCCAAGAGATGGCGCAGGGGATGATGCCGAGGTTCTGCATGGAGTCATCCTTTCCGATCATGGTGTAAGATTTCCCTGAGGGTGTAAGGGAAAAAGGAAAACCATTTTGTGTCCAGCCCTCATGCTGTAGTTTCAGCACAGATGCCAAAGGAGCAGGAGAATTGCGCAGGGGAGTGTGGAACAGAAGAAAGATGGTGAAGAGGTGAGAGACATAGCTTTCAACAACAAAAGGCTTTTTCTAGCATGGCGGATTAAATGGCTAGAATAAAGAATGCAAGAACCTAAAGAATGAGAGTAGATCCCAATTTCTCTAGAGGAGGAGCCCAAAGTTGTCCTATCTCTGCACTATTTGATAGAGTAGGAAGGCAAAGAACTTTCAGGATTATTAGGGTTTTTTTTTTTCCATTGCCACCACACAGGTGACACTCACATTCTTATACTTGATCTCCTTTCTAAATGACATGCTGCTGAACAGATTTCATTAAAATCAGAATCACTGCTTCCATCGGAGACAAGAATATGGAAGTGGCCTTGGGATGAAATGTGTTTTCTGTCCTGGCTGAGGGCCACTGTTGGAATCTTAGCCAAATGATTAACTTATCAAGTATGTAAAATAAGGGCTGGTGAGCAGAAGGTCACATGTCAGGAACAAGGTACTAGATCATTGTCTGGTGTTTCTTGGCCTCCCTGGAAGCTTCAGCACAGGAATATTCTTGGCAAGTGCTTGCTGAAAAGCAAGGAACTGCCAGATCACGCTGCCAGACAGGCCCTAACTTGTGTGAAGACTTTGCTCGAAGGCTGCTCTGTTGGATTTTATGTTGGCTCCATTGACCAATCTGAAAACTCTGAGGGAGGGCAGGGGGCCCTACTGCTTCCCACCAGCCCCTGTGAAGAAATGTACATTTCTTCTGGTCAATTCAGGGCATCATTGTGACCTGTACCGGGTAGGAACCACCCTATTTATTACTCCATTCATTTCTTCCTCAGTCCTCGACTATCTGCTGAGGACAAACTTCTCCATTTTCAAAGTAGAAATGGTTTTGGGGATTATTCAGCTCAACACCTTGGGGAATCAGCCTTCCTGTGATCTGAGCAATCTGGGATCATGGAGAAGAAAGAAGAGGGTGATAGAGACTCCAAAGAGTAGAGAAGAAAATGTAAGGGCTCACTGACCCAGCTTGGCATGTCCAAAGCAGAACACACAGCCATCTGCCCCGTTGACCACAGACTGGATTACCTCTGCCACAGTTCCAGCACACACTTCGGCCTGGGGGACAGGAGAGGAAACATGAGCATGAGTGAACCACATCAACAGAGACAAGAGCTTGCCATCCCAGCAGCATCCCATCCCCAGGAGCTCAGCTTCAAACAGTTTGGGAGGAGCTCGGAACACTTTGGTGTGAGCCAGCTCTCAAAAGCCTGTGATGCTATACGGTTACTGCGAGTCATCCTCTGCTCCATTTCACCTGCTGGCTCTGCAGGTAAGGCAGGAGCAGGCTGGAATGGGAACACAGGGTGCCCAGCGGACCTCATGCTCTTCACCGAGGTACCCTTCTGTACAAGATACACTTACATACTCTCTGCTAACTACATCCTTTACACCACAGCACACACAGACACACACATACACACACACGTGCACTCATACACATGTACACACATATCTTAGAAAATGGCCCAGCTTATTAGGGAAACCTTGAAAAACACAGGCTTAACTAGAACCAGGATATTGGTGAGACATGTGTGCTTTCTCTCCCAACTTCCATTCTCTTTCTCAACCTTGCTTCCTCCTCTTTGTAAAATGAGCCTTTTCTTGGGGCCTGGAATGATAGCAGAGCGGGTAGGGCGTTTGCTTTGCATGTGGTCGACCAGGGTTCGATTCCCAACATCCCATATAATCCCCTGAGCACTGCCAGGAGTAATTCCTGAGTGCAGAGCCAGGAGTATCCCCTGTGCATCGCCGGGTGTGACCCAAAAAGAAAAAAAAAGAGCCTTTTCTCTCTCTAAATCTGCAGATACATTCAGCCTATGCAGTCTCAATCACCATTTGTCTAGAGCGGGAATTCTGTAGAGGGTGTCCTTTCCAGCCAGTTGTATGTCTCATCTCCAGCTTGATTATTAAATCCTGAGACAGAGACCAGGTGCTAAGTGACTTTCTGAATGTCTCCATTAACACCCAATAATGGAGTGCCCTGCAAACAACAGGAGCTCAGTAAATTGTGTGGACTGACTTGGAGAGCTAAGAATTCATTCTCTGCTTAGCATTTGAGTCTTTTGCTGTGGCAGCCAGGCAAAATCATTTGCTGTGTGCTGCCGCCTTTATTTCTGCTTCAGCGCCAGAGTCAGATCTGGTGGAAGCATTCAAAGACTCCACAAACACTGGCTTTCTGGGCCACTGCAGCAACGCTCATCCCAGCGGGACACTGAGAACCGCAGCCTTGGTGACGAATGTAGTTATTCAGTTCCAGGGTGCAGCCACACAATGAACCTAAGTATTTGGAAATCAATTTTCTCTTCCAAACTGAAATAGAAAAACCACACTCCCAACAATTGCCCACTGTTCCCATGGCCGCCTCAGTAACCCTGCAGGGCTCCCCCCTGGGCGAAGAAGATGGCGCTGCCATGGGGACCACAGGAGCTGCCACATGTTCCCCCTTTCCAATCCCTCACCCCAGGATCTAGTCAATGGGAACCAGGCGTGAACCTCTGAGACATTGGGGTTGACAGCAGAGTCCTGATGGAATTTTCCAGAGGACCTCTGCAGACATTATTGCTGAATGCACTGCCCTCTTGGGAGATAAAGTTGTGAGGTGGGAGAGGGGACTGGGAACCAGCCTTCAGTCATCCATGAAAGAAACTACTGGATGAAGGTTCTCAAGGAGAATGTAGCGTGTGTGTAGAACCCCTGCCAACATCAATCCCCTGCACAAAGATTCAAAGACAAAGATGATATAGGAAGGTTCACAGAGCACAGGTCTCCTCCCACCAAAATCTTTCCCGGGAACCATGGAGAAGAATGTGGTCAGGGATCTGTGCTTCTGGGGTCTGTTAGAAGCTGACACTGCTCCCGAGAGGTTCCCTGCTGCCTTTCCCTTTGGACCTAGAGAATCAAACAACCTTTTACTGCACAGACCCTGTGCGCAATATGTTTAGTTTCCCTATCCACAAGCCCCAGAACTCCTACCACATTCATATGTTGAAATCTAACGTCCAGTGTGATGGTAGTAAAAGATACGGTAGGTGAGAAACAATCAGGTCATTAGGAGGGGAGCCTTTCGATTGGGGTTACAAAAGCATCCCCAAAGACCTTTCTCACCCATTCTCCCAAAGGACAACTCAGCAATTGGGAAGGATCCTCACCAGACTCCATGTATAATGGAGCCTTGATCTAGAACATTCTAACCTCCAGAACTGTAATACATTTCTACTCTCCAGATGCTTTCCAATCTGTGCTCCTTTATTCTGGCAACTCTAAAGAACCAAGAGAGAGGCCCAAAGCCTGGCCCAGCCATATGTGTCTCAGAGTTGGCAGCTGGTGGGGACCAGCCACACCTGTAGGTCCTCATAAGGTAAGAAGGATAGTTTCAAAGGACAGAAGACATAGGATTGTTTGGATCATTGCTTAGCTTTGGGAAACTGATGTCTTTAGAGATCAAATAAAAGCAAGTTTACCAAAGAAGAGTATAGCAGTCAGGGCTCTGCCTTTCAAGTTGCTACCTGGGTTCCATCCCAAGCACCCCACATGGTTCTCTGAGCCTGACAGGAGTGATACCGGAGTTCAATCAGGAATAAACCCTGAGCACTACCAGGTGTGGACCACAAACAAAACAAAACTACATAAATAACCCTCTTTCATACTGATGGGAGCAAAGGATTATATGTCACATGACTGGGGAGGAGGTGTGTGTGTGTGTGTGTGTGTGTGTGTGTGTGTGTAGTAGTAGTAGTAGTAGTAGTAGTAGTAGTAGTAGCTTTGTATATCAACACCATAAACTTGATCATTATTGTAGTCCTATTATCTAAACTGGGCTGGAGCAATAGCACAGCGGGTAGGGCATTTGCCTTGCACACAGCCAACATGGCAACCCAAGTTCGATTCCTCTGCCCCTCTCGGAGAGCCCGGCAAGCTACCGAGAGTATCTCGCCCGCATGGCAAAGCCTGGTAAGCTCCCTGTGACGTATTTGATATGCCAAACACAGTAACAATTGTCACAATGGAGACAACAGGAAGACAGTGACAGTGACAATAAATAAATAATAAATGATTATCTAAACTACAATTAAAAATTAAATAAAATAACTGACAATCAAAAAGAAACAAACACCACAATTTCATTACCCACCACCCCTTTTAACAACTCCGTTTCACTGAGCACTTACTGTGTTCTGACTCTGAACCTAACCACTTTGCTGGTAACAACGAAATGAATCATATAGCACATGACAAAATGAGGCCTTTTTTTTTTAAATATTGAATCACCGTGAGCAACACTTACAAAGCGATCATGTTTGAGTTTCACTCATACAACGATCAAACACAGATCTCTCCACCAGTGGAAATTTTCTACCACCTATGTCCCCACTATCCCTACCCCTGCCCACCCTCCCCACCCCCTGCCTCTATGACAGACAATTTCCCTCTTACTCTTTCTCTACTTGCAGGCATTATGGTTTGTAATACAGATGAGAGGCCATCATGTTTGGTCCTTTATCTACTTTCAGCACACATATCACATCCTGACGGATTCCTTCAACCATCATTGACTTAGTGATCCCTTCTCTATCCCAGCTGCCCTCTCCCCCAGCTCATAAGGCAGGCTTCCAACCATGGAATAATCCTCCTGGCCCTATCTCTACTGTACTTGGGTATTAATCTCATTTTATGATATTTTGTATTCACAAATGAGTGCAGTCCTTCTATGTCTGTCCTTCTCTTTCTGACTCACTTCACTTAGCATGACACTCTCCATTACCATCCATTTATAAGAAAATTTCATGACTTCATCTTTCCTAACAGCTGCATAATATTCCATTGTGTAAATATATAAAGTTTCTTTAATCAGTCATCTGTTCTTGGGCACTGGGGTTGTTTCCAGATTCTGGCTATTGTGAACAGTGCTGCAATGAACATACAGGTGCAGATGTGATTTCTACTGTGCTTTTGTGCCCCTGCTTTCATTCTACCAAAGGAGACACTGAGGCCCAGAGTGATGCAATCACTTGCCCAAACACAAGTTGCTAGTAAGTCATTGGCAAGCAGAACACAGGCTAATGGGAAGGATGCAAGAAACATCTGCTTAGGAAAAACAGTTAACAAGAATCTTTCGGCTCTGTGTCCCTATTCTCCCATCTGTCATGTGAAAACAGAGCACACTTTCCTTTCCTATGCCTGCTTTCTAAGAAAAGTCAAAATGGGCACAGGAAACCTCGAAAGCTGCAACTTTGCAAAAAAAATTGTTGTGATATTAGAAATTCAAAGTAAGCCATTCTGAAATGAGAACAATAGTAATATCATGCATAGTAAGCTCTGGCACCAAGTGTGATGTGTAAGCTAAGACTAATGATAAAATGGCTACTTTTCCTGGAATAAATCTAAAACTCATTAATAGTCCATGCTTAATTTAGGGTTTGCTTTGGAATTCTTACAACTTGGAGAGATTTGCTTCTGAGAAGTTTTAACTGCGTTAATTAAATTACTTGTGAGCCATTTATTAGACCAATGTCAGGTTTCGATTAGCAAGCCCATAGGGTGGTACAATACATGAAAAATGTGAGTGAGAGAGAAACCATAGAAGTTATTTGTAAAGTACTTTGTCTTTCCATGGTAAAACTCTTTGGGGAAACCATACACCATGCTTAATAAATGGAGCCTATAACACAATATATGTGTCATAGGCTGGCCTGTGTGAGCAGTTCTATTTTGTAAACTCAGAGGAAATAAAGAGAATCTGCAACAATATTCATCCCATTGGCACCCTCGTCCTAAGGTTCTAGAGGCTACTGGTTACCCTACCAAATGCAGTTCTGTATAAATCCTGGGTGTGCTGGAAATTCATCAGGAAGGGGCAGGTGACGAATGTCAAAATGTAGGCAAAGTCACTGTGTACCTAAAAATTGGCTTGTAGATATGTCCAACATTACCTTATGGTACAAGTAAATGTTCTAGAAGGTATCCGAGCCTTGGCTTAGGAATTTTGGATCTTGGGGCACCCAAGTTACCCTCATGTCATCATGTCATCCCATTGATCATTAAATTACTCAAACAGGACACCAGTGACATCTCTGTTCCTCCCAGCCCTAAGATTTTAGCAGCTTCTTCTTACTCATCTTTCATGCACATCATAGATTTAAAAATTACCACAATTTCCCACCATTTTCTGTGTTTCTGCCTTCTTTTCAATAAGACTTTGCAATCACTTCAGTTAAGAGGTGATACCTCTTTCCCCTAGCTCGGGCACAGCAGAAGATATACGGTTTTGGCCTAGAATTGACAAAATATCAATTCTAAGCTGAGAACTTGGAGCCTGTGTAGTTAGGTCCTTGCTACCACCAGGAGAGCAAGTCTAAGGTAGCCTAAAGTAGGATGAGAGGCAACGCTGATAAGAAAAAAAAAAGGTCAGGTGATGTGTCCAAGGTCATTGTAATACCACTAGTGGGCTAAATGAGGACAAGAACTGCTCAGCTGACCTACAGGCTCAGTCTCAATAATTCTGTGCAACCAAAGAATTTATTAAAAGTCACTGAAACCCAAGCACAAAAATTTGTAAGTCTGTAACTGTACCTCATGGTGTTTCACTAATAAAAATTAAAAAAATAAATGAATAAAAGTCACTAAACTTTAGAGTTGTCTATGATGCAGCCATAGCTAATCAATAACATCCACACCTTTTCTCTTCCCATCTACTCCACTATCCCAGCCACAAGGCAGCTCAGTTTCTTTGCCTAGCACAACAGTCTTTCATTTCAACTACAGAGCTGCTCGTAAGTTCAGTGTGCACTCAGAGGGCCCTGGGACCTGCTTAGGGTTAAATTTAGCTGCTTGAAGATGTCTCCTGCTTCTCACACACCTACTCAGAAGCCCAGGCAGAAGTGAGGTCCCAACACCTTGATGCAGTTGTTCCTGGAACTTCAAACTATTGGCTCTCTTTCTGTTGCTGTATGCCAGCCACTAATGGGGTTCTCTTCTTTTTCCTGAGAGTATTATTCTGTTAAAATGTAACAAAGGGGCTGGACAGATAATGTGTGGGTAAAGTGCTTGGCTTGCATGCAGCTGACCCCAGTTCAATCCCTGACACCACATATGGTACCCCCAACCTCTCCAAGGAGTGATCCCTAAACATAAAGCCAAGAGTAAGCCCTGAGCAGCAACATGTGCTCAGGGCTTACTCTCCGTTTGTGGCTCAGGGCCACTAACAAACAAACGAACTAACAAAAATTATATCACAATGATGCTGCCCAAGGCATGACTCCAGTAATTCAAAAGTACTAAACGGTTAAATGGAACTCAGAGTAGTGTAGAAAAGGGCTTACAAAGCTGGGGAAACTGCTACATTAGAATATTCTGGAAGATCAATTTTTTTGATGCACAATGATGCAACAAAACTTTCTTGAGATGAATCAACACAGCCTGAGCCTGAGGGGACTTATACCCACCTGAGATGCATCTTGTGGAAAAACTGCGTCGAAGGCAAACATCTTGGGAGGGACTTGGCTGCCTCTCTTTTGGAATGCATTTTGACCTCCACATGTCAGAGGATCATACAAGGTGATCTGCTTTTTCCGGGGGTCCACCTTTAAGAAAGAGCTGGATTCTGAGGTATCACGAGCCAAGGTAGAACAAATGCGAAGCATGACTTTCACCTGTGAGGAAACGAAGGCAGAAAACCATACAGATTAAAAGTTAAGTGAGCTGGATGCTTTGTGATAGAACATCCTCCATAATCAGAGGTGCAGCAGCATGGAGCCCGCTCGTGATAAACGATGATGAAATGCACAATGAATTAGCAACCTTCCTTAATGAATCATGGGGAAACTGATTTATTTATAATTACCTGGTAGAATATTTTGATATGACCATTATTTTATTACAGAAATAGCACATCATGTTCTTTGTCTTGCTATTAATATAAATTGAAAATTAACTGTACCCTCATGGCCCAATTACATAGATGAAGAGGTAATCTGGACTGCCAAGCTTTTGGGGCTGATGCAGTTCCCTGGAAACTCACAGATCAATAAACCACGGACATAAAAGTTAGCCCCATAATTTACTCCTTGCCTATGCTCATCAGGATTCTTGGAGACAAAAATCCACAGTTATTAGTGTCATCATTAAAGGCCTGTGAAATGGCCTGTTTTTAATGGCTGGCATTTGAAATGTGGTCCAAGGGGCAGCTGTGATAAAAGATTTGTTTGAAACATATTATTTGGGATCCCATTAAGTGTGTGCACAGAAGTTGTCATTTCAGGGGATGAAAGCGCATCTTGGTGGGAAACAGGAGGCGGTAGCCCTTTAACCTGCCTCCTCTTAATAAAACATGGATGTTTCCAGTGCTCACAACCAACCCAGCACTGCCACAAAGACTGAGTGTGGTGCTTAGGAAAATGGCCTGCCTGCCTGGAGTCTTAAGGAGAGTAAATGCCAAGTTAAAGTCATATGGAGCTCTGGAAGGGCAAGTCACAGGGAAAAGACTGGTGCTTTCTCTTGCTGGTTCCACTGCCAGGCTGCCTGTTCAGGGCAAATGTATTAAGCACCTACTTCCAGGTGCAGGGCCTGGCCTTGGATTAAGTATAACCCCTGTTTGATTGGTGGTATAGTAGGAGAGATGGATTCAGATCACTTTTTAGAATATAATGTGGCAATTTCAGAAGGATTATTTTAAATTCCTCTTGGCCTTGCTCTTTTCCTCTAGTCAATGATCAGGCCTGATGAAATCTCAGTCATGCAATTTGAAGCAGAGAGGTTGTAAAACTATAAATATTTCAAACATACAAAAGTGTCTAGAGGACTGTCTATGTTGTGTCTAGCTCCGTCTGCCTACTGAGGCCTGAGAACTCATTTCTAGTGTTCAAGGCTGAAATGTAAAGAATTCCTCAGATTTGTGGCCCATCTAATGTCTGCCATGCTCCTGCTCTGCTTATTCCTTATTTTTAAGCATTGTATGTGTGTGTTTGTAGGAGAGGTATTGGGAATATAGGTCAGAAGGTGGAATTGCATGTCATGCATGTGTGAGGTTCTAGGTTGGATCCCTGGCACCACAGAGTCACCACCCCACTCTGCCAAGCACAAGGGATGTGACCCTGGCAACCCCAGAACTGCTGGGCTTGACCATTGCCTCATTGTCAGGCCCAAACTAAACTTCAGGATGGCAAAGCTGTGCTGTGGCTCACTGAAATAGTCTCAGGTCCCCTGAGCACTTCTCAGTAACCCTCCTACCCCACCCCAAAATCAATGTATTTTGTTTGGGAGTCACAGAGGAGGGAGCAGGTGATCGGGAGGGCCTCTTGCTCAGGACCCACTGTGAGAGGGTCCTCTGACTGCGCCTCTCTGGCCGGTGCTATCCACATAAGATTTCACCATGTGCTCTAACGAACTACTATGTACTTCTCCGGGTTGCACAGAGGACAAAACAGACATTACAGAACCTCCTCAGAGCCTACCCTAAACCACTACACCTCTGGGTAGTAAGAGACAGAGTCTGTTCAGCATGTGTTCCACTGGGCCAACTCCCATCCACAGTGGACCTTCTCAGAGTCTCAGTTTCCTCACCTGTACAGTGGAAATAGCAACACTCATCTCAGGCGCCTGTTGTAAGAATGAAAGAAATGGCCACGAGAGGCACAGAGTATTGTGGGGCCTGACTCCTCTTCTCTAACCCCTCCTCCCTACCCTTGCAGATTCTACAGTTTTCCAGTTTCCACCTTAACAACAGGGATTCAGAACACTTTGCCTGAACTCGGGGTACACTGAATGATAAACAGGATGCAGTTAGAGGGGCTATCGCTGCAGGCAGAGCTTGGCATAAGGTATACAGGCTTTAGTAAAATGCTGTCAAGACCACAGGGTCTGGAGAGAGAGTACAGTGGGTAGGGCGTTTGCCTTGCACACAGCCAACCTGGGTTCAATCCCTGGCATCCCATATAGTCCCCACCTCCCCCCAAGCACCAGCAGGAATATTCATGATAATGAAGAACCAGGAGTCACCCCTACACTGCCAGTCTGCCTAAGCCCTCCTACTCCTCAACCCTTCCTCTCCCCCGCCACCCCTGCTCCCGCAAAGAAGACTTCAAGGTCCATGATCATTGGCTGTTTGACTTAAACCCCCACTTCTGTCTGCATTCCATTCTGGCACTTTTCTTCATTTCTTGTCTGCTGTGAATCCCTTCAATCTTACCTTCATTTCACTTCTACAGATTTAGGCAAGGTAGGTCACAGCTGTGCTAAGAGCACAGATTCAAACCACAACTTTTGGAGAAAGAAAAAAAGAAAAGTGCCTGCTACAGAGGCTGGCTAGGAGGATGGTGAGTGGCAGGGGGGAAACTGAGGACAGTGGTGGTTGGAAATGTACACTGGTGAAGGGAGGGTTATTGGAACATTGTATGACTGAAACCAAATCATGGACAACTTTGTAGGTCTGTATCTCATGGTGATTCCATAAAAAATTAAAAATTGAAAAACAAACAAACAGCACCCAAATCCAAACTGCAACTTTTGGTAGGGGCTTAGGATCTCTGGGGGGGATCTTTATCCCCCAGCCCAGTTTCTGAATGGTTCGAGTCACGGAGGATACAGTGCCAGGCAGAACTGATGGAGTCACATGGCCCACTGCCTTTCCATTTCACCATTTTCGCATGCAATTTCTGGGTAACTAGAGGTGCTGAATGTAAAATATGAGCTCAGCCAGGCAAGGACCTATCAAGAGAGGCAGGGAGAAGGGGCTGAATTAGTGAGTCATTTGTCCAGGGGGAATGGCCCTGCATCCTAATGAGGTTCCACCCTGCAGAGCAATTTCTGCGCAGACCCTGGGCATGGCTGTACTGTTTTGGCCAACAAGACACCCGGCTCTTTAAACCCACTGAACTCAGGGCTGGGGAAATGCCACACTTCATTCTTTCCTTTGCAATTCATTTCAATAAATGAATATTTTTCCACTTCAAGGAAGGAAATTGGGTTTTTCTGCTTCACTTCCTCCATGTCATTATTCCTTTAGTCCACCACTCTACTTCCTGCTTAATCCTTTGTAATTAAAGTGCTTAGGAGGTGCCACTAGTGATCATGAAAGTTCCCTGGACTTCTTGCCAGTAGTTCTCGCTTTAGTGGCAAGCAGTGTTCGTTCCCTGCAATATCTCCTTCCACTCATTCCCTCCTAGCGGCTCTGGGCTGCAGGGGTTAACATGCAGCCCTCCCCAGCTCTCCATCAAAGGGACCATCAGCATTTCACTCAGAAAGGCAGAGCTCTTGGGCTGTGGGACCTTGAAGGCCAGAGGCACAGTCAGAACAGCGAAAAGGGAAGTCTGACAACCTGATTCAACCAAGATTATATAGCACTTCCTCTCCCCACATCCTCACTGGCAGAGACCCCACTCTACCTCATTGATCTAATTAGTCAATAGATGGTATGAGACAGCTGTTGCTCTGGGCAGCCGCCGCCTTTGTGTCCCGCTCATTCATCATTTCAGCACGTCCTGCTGGACAGCGTGGTCTTGGTCGAACTGGGGGGAAGAGATTTGTATGCATGTGTCAGCTGGGAGAATGTGGGCGTGGGGGTATGGAAGTGAGGTGGGGAAAGCCTGTGTTGGAGAGAGAGAGAGAGAGAGAGAGAGAGAGAGAGAGAGAGAGAGAGAGAGAGAGAGAGAGAGAGAGAGATTGTCTTGCTCCTAATCTGTAGATATTCCCTCAAGTGCCACCCGGTCTTAGCATGGACTAATGAAGCCCCCTAAGAGTTACAGCTTCACAGGCTCTTGTACACAGATACTCCTATCCTTTGTCACAGAGGACAACTACATGGTCCAGATCTCAGGGGCTTCTTCAGAGTCTGCTTCCGAGCTTGTATGCAGTAGTTGTCCAGCTGCAAGCTCTCTGCTTGGGAGGGCTGTCGGCAATGCAAGCACTAGAAGTAAGACTGGGGTGATTATGAGGTGAAGGGGAAAGAGGAGAACTGGAGCAATCACTCCCATACCTGAACATCAGTCGGTCACTCACTCCTTTGTATCATTCCAGAATAAAGGACTCCTCTCCTCCCCCGCTGCCCCCTCTCCACTGCCCCAGACACAGGAAATAATGGCCCAGCCTCAAGGAGCAAGCATGTCAGTGAGGAGAAAACACTTTTCCATGAGGTCATTGACTGCAAAGTAAATTAACCACAGACATCTTTTGCCTTTCCATATTTTATTCTCTAAAGAAACTCTGAGCTCGGAGTACAAAGAAATTTTTTTAAACCAGCTCCATGCTCTCGGGGGGAACTCAGCACATAAGTCTGATCCTTTGTGCTGTCTGCATGCACTTTGGAAGAGCCAGAAGTTCTACTGTCTGCAACTCAGGGGCCCTGTGAGAAGCATGATCTTACTTCCTTGGTGGCAGAGGAGCCAAAAGTCTGGACACAGGACTGAGGTACTCTCAAGGAGGTGAGCAGCATGGAACTGAACAGAGGTCACTTCCTGCACTCTCCATGTTCAGGTGGGTACAGATCTTGAGCAGAAAACCTGAAGCAAATCTGGAAGAGTCCACTGAATGTGGACATGTCACTTCAGACACACTCTGTGAGTGATAGTCACTGCAGCAGGGAGCAAGGACACTGGCTCCAATTCAAAGGTCCCACCCTGGGAATGTCTGTGTGAAGGGGTGTGGGCCCTGGGGTTCT